AGATATTACAACCGATACCACAGAAATACAAAGATGATTCAAGGCTACTATGAATACCTTTACATGCACAAACTAGAAAATCTAAAGGAGAGAATAAACTCCGGGAAATATACAACCCTCCTAGATTACATCAGAAGAAATAAAAACTCTGAACAGACCAATAACAAGTAGAGAGATCGAAACAGTATAATAAATTGTCAACACAAAGTCTGGGACCAGTTGGATTCACAGATGAATTCTATCAGACATTCAAAAAGACTTGGTGCCATTCTTAAAGAAACTATTCCAAAAGACAGAGAAAGAGGGAATCCTCCCCTAAATCATTCTATGAAGCCAGTATCACCCTAATACCAAAATCAGGAAAGGACATAACAAAAAAATAAATCTACAGACCAACATCCCTGATAACATAGATGCAAAAATCCTCAACAAAATACTAGCTAACCGAATCCAACAGCCTATCAAAAAGGCAATCCACCATGATCAGCGGGTTTCACACCATGGATGCAGGGATGGTTTAACATCCACAAGTCGGTAAATGTGATGTATCACATAAAAAGAATTTTTTAAAAAATCATGTGATCTCAACAGATGCAGAAAAAGCATATAACAAAAAAATCCAGCATCCCTTTATGATTAAAACCCTCAGCAAAACTGGCATAGAAGTAACATACCTTAACGTAATAAAATGCATATATTACAAACCCACAGCCCATATTCTACTGAACGGGAAAAAGTTGAAAGCATTCACCGTGAGAAATGAGAAGACAAGGATGTCCACTCTTACCACTTCCATTCAGCATAAGTACTGGATGTCCTAGCCAGAGCAATCAGAGAAAAGAAATAAAGGACATCCAAATAGGTAAAGAGGAAGTCAAACTGTGGCTGTTTGCTGATGATATGATCGTATATCTAGAAAACCCTAAAGACTCATCCAAAAAGCTTGTAGTCTGACAAACAAATTCAGTAATCTTTCAGGATACAAAACCAACGTAAATTAGTAGCACTGCTCTACACCAACAATGACGAAGTTGAGAAAAAATCAAGAATTTAACCCCTATTACAACAGCTACAAAAAAATAAAATACTTAGGAATACACCTAACCAAGGAGGTGAAAGATGTCTACAAACAAAACTACAAAACACTGCTGAAAGAAATCATCAACACCACCAACAAATGAAAACACATCCCATGCTCAGGGATGGGTAGAATTAATATTGCAAAAATGACAATACTGCCAAAAGCAATCTACAGATTCAATGCAGTTCCCATCAAAGTACTATCATCAATCTTCACAGAACTAGAAACAATCCTAAAATTCATATGGAACCGGAAGAGAGCCCAGATAGCCAAAGCAAGACTAAGCAAAAAGAATAACTCTGGAGGCATCACATCATCTGACTTTCTATACTGCAAGGCTATGGTTACCAAAACACCACCGTCCTGGAATAAAATAGACACACAGACCAACACAATAGAGATCCCAAAAATTAAAGTCAAATATTGGTGACTCACGCGTGTAATCCCAGCATTTTGGGAGGCCTAAGCAGGCAGATCACTTCAGGTCAGGAGTTCGAGACCAGCCTGACCAACAGGGTAAAACCCTGTTTCTACTAAAAATACAAAAATTAGCTAGACATGGTGGCAGGCACTTGTAATCCCAGCTACTCAGGAGTCTGAGGCGGGAGAATTGCTTGAACTTGGGAGGCAGAGGTTGCAGTGAGTCAAGATCACGCCACTGCACTCTGCTCTGGGTGACAGAGTGAGACTGAGTCTCTAAAAAATAAACACAAAAAACCATAAAGTGGGGAAAGGATACTCTTTGCAACAAATGCTGCTGGGATAACTGCCAAGCCACATGCAGAAGAATGAAACTGGATCCTCATTTCTCACCTTACACAAAAATCAACCCAAGATGGAGCAAAGACTTAAATCTAACACCTTAAACCATAAAAATTCTGGAAGATAACATTGGAAAAACTCTTCCAGACATTGGCTTAGGCACAGTGTTTATGACCAAGAACCCTAAAGCAAATGCAACAAGAAGAAAAATAAACAGATGAAACCTAATTAAACTAAAGCTTCTGCACATAAAAAGAAATAATCAGCAGAATAAACAGACGACCCACAGAATGGGAGAAAATATTTGCAAACTATGCATCCAACAAAAGACTAGTGTCCAGAATCAATAAGGAACTAAAAACAAATCAACAAGAAAAAAAGAATAATAATCCCATCGAGAAGTGGGCAAATGACATGAATAAGCATTTCTCAAAAGAAGATATACAACACAATACCACACAATACCACCTTATTGCTGGAAGAATGGCCACAATTTAAAAGGCAAAAAACAATAGATGTTGGCATGGATATGGTGAAAAGGGAACACTTTTACACTGCTGGTGAAAATATAAACTAATACAACCACTATAGAAAACCGTACAGAGATTTCTTAAATACCTAAAAGTAGAACTACCATTTGATCCTGCAATCCCACCACTGGGTACCTATCCAGAGGGAAAAAAGTCATTATATGAAAAAGACACTTGCACACATGTTTATAGCAGCACAACTTGCAACTGCAAAACTGGACCCAGTGTAAATGTCCTTCAATCAATAAGTGGATAAAGAAAATGTGATATAGATATACACACACACACACACACACACACACACACACACACACACCATGGAATACTATTTAAGCCATAAAAAGGAACAAAATATGGCTTTCACAGAAACCTGGATGGAGTTGGAGACCATTAGTCTAAATGAAGTAATTCAGGAAAGGAAAACCAAGTGTCATTTTGTTCTCATTTGTAATTAGGAGCTAAGCTGTGAGTAGGCATAAGAATGATATAATAGACTTTGGGGACTAGGAGGGAAGGGTGGGGGTGGCTAGGTATAAAAGACTACACACTGGGTACAGTGTACGCAGCTCAGGTGACAGGTGCACCAAAATCTCAGAAATCACCACTAAGGAATTTATTCAATGTAACCAAAAACCACCTGCTACCCAAAAACTATTCAAATTAGGGCCAGATGTGGTTAATCCCAGCACTTTGGGAGGCCGAGGTAGGCGGATCACGAGGTCAAGAGTTCAAGATCAGCCTGGCCAACATGGTGAAACCCCATCTCTACTAAGAATACAAAAATTTTCTGGGCGTGATGGCATGTGCCTGTAATCCCAGCTACTTGGGAGGCTGAGGCAGGAGAATCGCTTGAACCCAAGAAGGGGAGGTTGCAGTGAGCCAAGATCATGCCACTGCACTCCAGCCTGAGCGACAGAGCAAGACTCCATCTTGTGGTGGGGGGGAGACTATTCAAATTAAAACAAAAAAGCAAGGTACATATATACCATATAATATTTCAAGAATGGAAGAAACTTGGTTTATAGAAAAACAAGTAATCTGTGTATTTAAAGCTGCTCTAAAATTAAGTTTGTTTCTTTTTAAAGCAAGGTACAGACAGTAATTCACTAGACTTTGGGTAAGAAAGGAGAATGAGACTACGTATTTATCTGCTTGTGGATGCATAAGGAAGTACTAGAAAAAATCACAAGAAACAAATAGTAATTACATATTTGGGAGGAAGGGGGGAAACAGGAACAAGAGAGAGACAAATAATTCTTACTGTAAACTTTTGTTATAATGTTTTGTTGATTGTTTTTTCCAAAAAAGTTGTTTTTAAAAGCAGCTCCACAAGAATTACCTCACTCTCTACAAAACCCAAGGGAAGTTACTGGCACAGTATTCATTCCAGTAAATGTGGTTTTAATAACTATTAAACTCCTTTAAACACAAACTTTTAATCTCTATGGTATATGCTACTTTCCATAAATAGAAACCAAAATATTTTTCATAAAGATAAATGGAAAAGATTTTTGCAGAAACTTGCTCTTTATAAAGATTTCCCAGAATACATCTAATTTGACAAAAGTGATTTACAACTAATTACAACTAAACTCAGTAGTGTGACCTCAAAACTGAGTGAAAGGAATCAAGTCTTTTAATGTCCTACAACTTATTTATTTTATATAATAGTCAATGTTGTTTGCTAATGAAAATGTCAAAACCTTTGACAGTAAGAAAACATAACCAGACCACCAAGTATTAAAAAAACCAACATGGCTTCCATTCATTAGTCTACCACTAGCTATTTTCAAGACCCTAATCCAACAGCAACACTTCTGTACTTCAAATAGAAAAAAACAGATCAAACGAGCTTAATCTCCATCTACTTTTGAAATTCAATGTATGTACAAGAATGTTAAAACAAATGGTTGTTTTTAAAAAAATTTAGAGGAGCAAAATTATGCCTATTAGGAAACATGTCAGCTTAAGCTAACATTTAAAAGAAAACAACAGGCCAGGCGCGGTGGCTCATGCCTGTAATCCCAGCACTTTGGGAGGCCGAGGCAGGCGGATCACGAGGTCAGGAGATTGAAACCATCCTGGCCAACATGATGAAACCCTGTCTCTACTAAAATACAAAAAATTAGGCGGGCGTGGTGGCGGGCACCTGTAGTCCCAGCTACTCGGGAGGCTGAGGCAGAAGAATGGTGTGAACCTGGGAGACGGAGCTTGCAGTGAGCTGAGATCGCACCACCGCCCTCCAGCCTGGCAACAGAGCGAGACACTCTCAAAAAACAAAAAAAAAAAAGGCCAGCCAGGCGCAGTGGCTCACGCCTGTAATCCCACCACTTTGGGTGGCCGAGGCGGGAGAATCACCTGAGGTCAAGGGTTTGAGACCAGCCTGGCCAACATGGTGAAACACCATCTCTACTAAAAGTACAAAAATTAGCCAGGTGTGGTGGCATACGCCTGTAGTCCCAGCTACTCAGGAGGATGAGGCAGGAAAATCACTTGAACACAACAGGTGGAGGCTGCAGGGAGCCAAGATGGCACCATTGCACTCCAGCCTGGGCAACAGAGTGAGACTCTGTGTCATAAATAAATAAACAAATAAATAAATAAAATTTATACACATATATCCTTACCTTGAAAGGTTTGTCTCCACTGTGTGTCAGCATATGCCTTTGTAACCAACTTTGACTGGTAGATGGAGTGTTATATACTTTACAACCTTTCCATAGGCAAACAAATACCTGTTAAGAAAAACAAAGCCATATTAATTTTCATGACTTATCTCAAGAAGAGTTTGATTCCTCATACATTCAAATTAACATGTTACAAGTCTTCAACTGACAAGAGCTATAGAATGTACAAGCCAATCAAAATGCTTAATATAAACTGTCAAAACATCCTAGTATGAGTCACCCTTAATGCTACTGACCACACCTTCAGTAAGGAATACGAACACATCACAGAATACCATTCAGAAGGAAACATATATAACATTAGCAATATATCCCTCGGAACTGAGACCATGGGCCATTATTTACATTTTTGTATTTACTGCACAAAAGAACAAACATCTATTAATTTTAAATAGCAGGAAAATATAAAGGCATAAAAAATTAATGAAATGACCAATAAATATTAATTAGAAGACACTGGTATTTTCAACTTCAAAGAATGAATGAAAATTATCAAATTACAATTTTTTACTGGTGATATCCTGGTCTCACAAGCATACTAACAATATTTGTTCTTATATTGTTGTAATCATGAAGAATTATTTCTATCTCGATTATGACATAGAGACATATTCGAGACCCTGTCTGAAATATGAAATTTTGTTATGAAACAAATTGAATACAAAATATTAAGTTAATATAGTAATAAAAACAAGACATGAGCTACCATACTTTCATCACAGATCCACATTCTAGATTCAGGGTACTAAGTATAACTAGGTGTGGAAAGCACCAAAACTAACAAACTAATCTTTATCATCTTCCTACCAGTGACATGTCAGTTTCCTAACTGATGATATTTCCATCAAACCAAACACTGAAAACTGCTTCCCAACATCAGGAAAAAAAGGGTCTACCACAATCATTATCTTGAAAGAACCACTTAAAGGCTCTGTTCTTTTCTAAGGTAAGAACAATCATAGAGTCACACTTTGAAGACTGTAATACACTACATACATATAGAACACAAGACAGATATACAATCTTTCTTCAGCCAGCCTAAAATAAAAATTTTTAATAGACTAGAAAAACTGACAGTCTATAAACAAATTGAGGTCAATTTTTACTCAAAAACAATATCATCTTATGCCAAATAGGTATAACAAGGTAATACCAACACTGCCATTTGACAAGACTGTTTAGAGAAGTTACTACATCCTGACTCCACAACGAATTTGCTAGTTTCTTTAAGTATGAGATAAAGGAACTCATAACATTACCTCCTTTACACTCAAAATTCCCAACCCTAGAACATGTTTATAAACTAATGGCCAAGGTTCTCAGAGTTAAAAGTAACTTTTAAAAATAAATCTAGGAACAGAAAAAAATACAAAGCAATACTTATATGCAGCCGATGTGGTGGCTCACACCGGCAATTTCAGCACTCTGGGAGGCTGACGGGGAGGGCTTGAGCTCAGGAGTTCGAGACCAGCCTGGGCAACATGGCAAAACCCTGTCTCTGCAAAAGTAACAAAAAAAATTGGCTAGGCATAATGGCATATGCACCTGTAGTCCCAGCTACTCAGGGGCGGTAGGTGGGGGGGTGCGGTAGCTGAGGCATGATGATTGATAGAGCCCAAAAGATGAAGGCCGCAGTGAGCCATGATGGCACTACTGCACTCCAGTGTAGGTGACAGAGTGAGATCTTCTCTCCAAAAAAAAAAAAAAA